GAGTGTCCCACAAGAGTGTCCCGCAACAGTGTCCCGCAAGAGTGTCTCACAAGAGTGTCCCTTAAGAGTGTCCCACAAGAGTGTCCCGCAACAGTGTCCCACAAGAGTGTCCTACAAGAGCGTCCCACAAGAGCTTCCTACAAGAGTGTCCCATAAGAGTTTCCTACTAGAGTGTCCCACAAGAGTGTCCCACAAGAGTGTCCCGTAAGAGTGTCCCACAAGAGTTTCCTACAAGAGTGTCCCACAAGAGTGTCCTACAAGAGTGTCATTTGGACATATGTAGCTTTTCGAACGTGTTTGCATTCGGGTTCGTGGGTTCCATCTTGTTTTTTTTTTTTTAATTTTTGATACGAGTTTAATAAAGGATTTTATATAACACTTTTCTGGATGACTTTTTGGTTTTGAAGCTCTTCCCAGGTGACCCTATTTTGGACCCCCGATTTCAGGGACCCCCTATTAGAAAAAATGCGACCGAGTGTTTTTAATAGGAGGGGGGGGGCCCGTGTTTATTAATAGGTGGACGGGATTATGGAGGATCACATGATCACACATGTTGGGTCCGTCTACTCATACGGCCAGTGAATTTTCAGAACATGATCGGCAAGGGATCAGAAATGGAAAGCACGTTTTTTCATTGCTTCTGTGCCAGAACCGTCATGAACTTTCATAAGGCTGAATATGAGCTATATATAAATCTTGCCTTTCATCCGAGTTGAACCATCATATATATATATATAAATATGGCTGAACCATCCAGACTTGTCTAATCATTAGATTCTGGTCAGTGGCTGAAGGCTCGGTGTCATAGTGGATGCTGAGAAGGTGAAGTATTCGTGTGAGCTCAACTTGGGGAGTGGAACAGTGCAACGAGCAGTACGAAGAATACTAGATCATCCGAACTTCAACAGCATATTCCCCTTGCTTCTATGGATCTTTCTTTGCGCTAGGTTCACAGTGGCTGAAGCACAATGGCAACACCGAGCCCCCTGCCTTGCGCCAAGTCTCAGAGAGGCCTGTGCTTTTCAGGCCTCAGCACTAGAACGCTGGAACACATCCAACTGCATCCAACATGGTCCAAATGTTCATTCAGCCCATGAAGGAACCTACCAACGTGCACTAAGGCGGTCTCAAACATTCCCAACCAAAGTGCCTCTCCACCACATGGTCCTTGGACCCGGGGGTACTACATTGATACAGCCGCTTTGTGGTTGAAACCGCCATGTCCTGTACCTGATTTGTCAAGAACGCAACGAACAGTCCAAGCAAACGTGCCCCGTTGTGGATATATAATATAGATGTTATAATAATAAACAAACTATATAATGTAATATAATGTAAATATATAAAACCGGACCAGCGATGTTGATGCACTAGCACTAGACCTGGATGGATGGGAGTAAATACCCTCCAACCCATTGTTGTGATGGTATATAATTACCGTCCCCAAGTAAGGGGGACATATGATCCAATACAAAAGACCACTACGCTCTTACTCTCTCTCTCTCTCTGTAAGAATCCGAAGGAGGTAAGAATGCATGATCTTTGAGTCCTCTTTTGTCCACCATCTATCACTATCCGTTTCACTCCGCAGCACTGCTGCACTGTGCCAAAGAGCTGTCGATGGAGCGGCTGAGAGTGCGACTCTTGCTTTGTTTTCCTGCGGCAAATGGCAGAGTCTTCGAACGAGAGCAGGGATGGGATGGAGTTGTCTCCAAGAACGCATCTGAATAGTGACCAAAACGACTTCGAAGAGTAGATGCAATACTAGCATTGGTAAGTTTCTGCATCTAATTGTATATCAATCATGTCTGAATATAGTAATATACACTTAAAGCTTTAGTATAGACACATAGCTGAGCAAAATGGTTGTCATTTCTTTAAACCTGGGGTGTAGGGACCACTTTAGTAACTTTAGTTACGCGTTTCGCTTCCAGTACTCTCCCATCGCTTTGGGTGGGTCTACCCTCTTGGACATCAACATGTTCAAAGACCTTCCACATGGAAAACTGACATGGGAACACCTGAGCAACAATACAACAAACCGTTTATAAAACCACCCAAAGCTTTCATAAAGTTGCATCTGGGACCACCGAATGGCAGTGACACACACATCAAACACGTTTGAGGACCACCGTGCGAACCCGTTTGTGCAATGGAAGCACCGAAGCAGGCAACCTTTGCATCGAACAACAAAGAACCGCTCAAGTGGAAGGCGCTGTCAGCGCCACTTCCTGTAATGCCTGGTGTTTAAGGAGCTTGGCGTATAAAGGAGGCAACAGCAAGAATTACAAGTCTCTATAGGCGGATTTGATGTAATTTTGGCTATAGAAGCCAAGCATCTGAAAAACAACGGGTTTCCGTCTCCGTAGTCAACTCCATGTGTCGTGGTCAACTCTAAGCTACCATCGTCGTGGGCCGAATTGGTTGTGACCCCCACTTCACTCCCATTGGTGGTGAGGATTCAGCCGATGCCGCCGAGGCCGATGCTTTGGAGCAACTTCGATGAGAATGGAACATCAACTGCATCAGGTGCCCTCTATTCTGGAATAAACAGTTGCCCGTTTGAAAGATGTTGTTCGATGAAGTTGTGCCACCCTTCTCCATCTCACAATCCTCTCGTCTCCAAACAAAGGCAACATGGATTCCGACGTCTCAGAAAGACAGCTGGGAATCCCCAGCAAAGCCCTGGTCTCATCGACCGATCTTCGAACCATAGGCACCAGCATTGGTGTTGCTTCGTCCCCCCAAAGAAAGCCTAAGAAAGGTGACCAGTCTCCACTGTACCATGTAAACACCAACTGGGCATGTGAAGCACAGCAGGCCTTGCCTTTTCTCACGTGCGTGCAGCCGGTCTGCGCGAATCTGCGCAGAAAAAAGAAAGCACGCTGAGTTGCAGCTTTGGGCATGCCTTGACAAGCAAATCTCCGAAGAGTTTGAAAGCTGAGATTTGTTTCTACATAATTGACCAACGCATGTTTCAATGCGGTCTAGGATTGTCTAGGACCTAGCAATGCCCAGCTCTTATTCATGGTGTCCGTGACCACAATGGTCGAAACAAATTATTGCTCCTGGCATTGATATCTTTGTGTTTCACTTCTGTCGACTTGTCTATCTCTACTGCACAAGCAACCCAAAAACGAAAAAAGGCTTTTGATTTGCTCCTCTGTTTTCATGTTGCAAAGTGCCTTGGACAGAATGTGTCGTCTCCTCTTGTCGACCCGGCACTCGTGATCTTCTGCGACATACCATCTCTTACATTACATGGCCAAGAGCTTCTTTGCAAGCATCAAAGCAATCTCGTGTGCGGTCTTGTCCTGGCAGTCCAGGAACACCACAGAATCCTTAAAGACTGAGTTCACGAGGACTCGTGCACTGTACGACTTGTCGTACATATGACGCGGACCACAGTCAGGCCTCGGTGGGTAGATTGGAACTACCCTGATTGGTATCTTCCGCAAATTTTGGTCATAAATGTACTGCAATTCATAGTTGGACGAGTACTTGGACTTGGTGATTTCACCGTAGTCCTCCGTGCAAACGCACAACATGACTCCATTCTCAAAATGAACTCTGCCGAAGTATTCTAGGGTAAGAGTCCCAAAGTTGTCTCCAGCATCAGCATTAACCATGAGATTATCGAAATTATGCTCTTTGAGCAATCGATGCACTTCACGGAATTTCAGCTCGAATTCACCGCCATTGAACCGGGCGGAAAACATGGAGACCGGCGCGGCAGCGCCATCGGGAATGGCCTGGCAGCGTGGCCGCAAATGTTTTCGGATCTCATTGGCCAACCACCAAGTCGCTTGTTGCAAAGATTGTTTAACTGTGCGATGCACAAGTCCCCTAAGTGAGTTTCGTACCAGCCAAACCGGCCACTACAATGGAGCAGGACAACACAAAATCCAACAGGTGGAATCAATCAAGTGGAGGAGGTCGATGATGTCTATTTTCAGGGGTTGCCGATCGTGTTCTCTATTTGTGGCTTCTCTTATGCTGATGGCTGATGGCGATAACGGTAGCAAACACTATATTGCATCTCTAGGTGGTTCTAGGACTGGTCAAGGTTCCGCGTCAGGTTGGAATTTGCAAGCCTGACAGAAAACGTGTACTTCTACGTAAATAATTGAAACTTGATCTGTAAAGACAAAAACTAAATCGACTAAGATGGTCTCTGGAACTGGAAGCACTAGCCGCCTTTGGGTTCAACATGTCAAACCATTCCAAAAGCATGCCTGGTCAGGAAGACATAAGCAAGTTTCAACCGTCAACCGTCAGGCGGACTTCACGGGCTGTCGGATGGCAACCCGTGTGGCGCCACGTTTGCCACCGAATCCGCGCGTCCCCTGGCATCCTCGCTCCCTGCAGCTTGGCTTGATGCCTGGCAATCCAATCTGTGTTTATCACCAGCCTCAACATCTGGGCCGATAAACGAATATCTGCTATAATTACGTAGAATGTTGCCTGCACTGCATATTCCGTACAGGAGCCTATGAAAAATGAGTTACCTGGGTCTTCAAAGTCTTTCTTTTTTTGGGGGGGGGTGCATCCTTGTTGCTATCTGTCATTTCTTATTTGCTCCTGCCCAGGCCCAGACCTCGACGCATTTGTGTCTTTTGACCAACCTACTGTATTTTGGGTCCACGAATGAACAATATATCGGCCAAATGGGGTCTTTGTTCAAAGAAGGGTGGCATCTTTACTTTAGCCATGTCTGGGTCGACGCTGGAGCTGTGGAAAGGTTCCAGCAAAATGCCATGCCGTTCTGCTTGAAAACGCGGCAATACCACCTTCCCACTTCTGCTGTTGCTCTCTCTCTCTCTTTCTCTCTCCCCGGACGCCGCGTTTCAGCTGGCCTTGGGTGCTGGTGCTGTGGCAAAAGCCTGGAAGCGACATTGTCAGACCCGCTTCCAGCTTAGCACAGCATGCAAAGCAACTTGGAACACCCCATTGACATTGTCTACTGTTGAACTATTCTCAATCTCAAGACACCTTAGCACCCCCTATGGACACTACATCATGCACATCGCATGTTGCGGTGCAAGGTCTCAACTGCATGTTTGGTAGCAACATGTAGCAAGTTGCTGCCTGTCCCGCGTAACCGCCAGAAGTGGACGGAGAGGCCTTGCAAGCGAGCCGGCTTTGATTTTCAGTGGCGAAGCTGATCAACATGAGATCAACTGCACATACACATATATATATATATACCTACAGCCGGTTTGTTCTCTGTTTTGCTCAAAGGTCTTTGTTTTCGACATGCTCTCAAGCCACATCTCAAAATACACCCCTTTCGAGAAAAAAAAACAAAACAAAACACCCCTGATGATTTTCAATGATTTGTCTTTCGGATTGTGAAGCTGGTGCAAAATGTAAAAAACATCACCAAGAGTCAAGACCACACACATTCCCAAGCCCTTCCACCACCGCCCGCTGCTGTTTCAGGCCTAAAATGGCCATGATGTATCCTCCAAATACATGTCATGGATTGGATGGGACACCAACCTTTGGTCAAACCAGTGTGATGTGAAGATGACTGTTGCAAAAGAGATACCTTTCGCAAAATACACCCCTTTCGTCAAAATACTGTATGTTTAGCTGCAGGTATGAGTTTTCAAAGAGGTATCCCAAAAGGAAGAACAAAGAGGTTCCAAATATATATATATGTGTTTTTTAAATGACCTATTCTAATCATCTTCTATGTTATATGCAAGCGCATTTCCCATTAATTAGAAAAGATCCAGCTTCCAGACCCTCAGGCTATACATGGGACCCCTTCGCTACGCATTCGGGAAAAAAAAGGGTTCCAAGTTGGGAACGCTTCAGCGCCCTCAACAGTTCACAGCTCGCAAGGCCAACGAACAGTGTGGAGGGGCGGCCGTTATACTCTGCTGGCTTGCAGCTCGAGGAACACTTGCATTGGGAAGCAACGGGCCCGGTTCCAAGTTCTGCACTTTGGCCGGTCAAATTGCTCTAGGGTGGACTGGAACATCCCATTGGCCACACACCCATTCCAGGAAGTGGCACATGATAACTAAGCGAGAAAAACAGGCATGTAATGTATGAATCCTCTTCTCAAATCCCGCAGTTTGATCAACAACGCTCAATGTAAACTACCCTGAACACCTCGTTGAGTCGCTATCGACATCCAAGGTGCTGCGGTCAGCTGCATGCGCTCCAGCTTTGCCTTCGTGGCAGCTAATTCAGCCTGGTGTCCCAAGTTTCAGGGATGGACGAAAACAGACTAAGAAGTGAGCTTTGGCGGAAGTGGCATAGTTGACTCGATGTGGTCAAATGTTGGCCGTGTGTTGAATGTCCAGTTGATTTCTGCAAATGTATCCTTGCGCTATGTGCAAAGTATCAAGGGAGGCTCAGGACCTCTCTGCATCATTCAGGCCTCCCAATCGTGTGTCTATACGTCCAAGCAACATGGCCATCCAACAATATCCCACCAACAAGTGATCCTTAAGAAAAAACAACTGAACTAGAAGCGGGTATATTATGTCCAAAGTTGCAGGACCTTCAGCATTGAGCCAAGAAAAACTCAAGAAATTTGCCGTATCATGAGAAACAGCCAACTTGGCAAAACTCAACTTTGTTCAGTAGAGTGAGACAACTTCACATTGGGCGATGCCGAAACGACCTTGCAAACACCTCCTTCCCGCACCTATCATCCCATATCACGCCCTTGCCGGTGCTGCCTCCAGGTGGGTCGTGTCCTTTGCCTCGGAGAGACTGGATTCTGGATGCTTCTAAGTTGGACCTCCAAAGGAGGGTTCTAGCCTTTTCACCTCAAGAGAAAGAAAAGAATGACGCAAAACATAGAGTCCTTCTGCAATTCCAATTGCACACCGCCAAGAAGGGTCACCCCTTTGCCTCAGCATCCGGTGGACTTCCACATTCAGGCATACTTCTGCTTGTCACTACCGTAAGTCGGACATAGAGAACGCCATTCTTCCCTCTTGCCAAAGAACGGATTCCTCTCATATCGATTCTTGAGACTCGAGACGCGCCGGACGTCCGGATGGTCCGAAACCCAAGGGGTGAGAAATCGATCGTCTACACGACTGTCGCATGCGTCAAGAAGTCCATTGTGAGCTTGACAGCATGGAGAACCCTTTGACGCCACTAAAAGCTAGAAACAAACTGTGGAACTCGTGTCCCATGTCGATGAGTACAGCATGCAATCGTCTCGGGCTGAGCTAACCAATGGAAGCTGTCTGGAGACACATGCATGTAATCTTGCTGCTGTGTCACCCAAGGATTGACATTTTAAAAAGAACCGCTCGAAACACCAAAGCCGCAAACATCACAGATTTCGCATCTTTATCCTCTGCTTCCTTAAAGTCCAACAGTTTCGTCGGTTTTGTTTATTTTTGCTCAAAAGCTATTTCCGTTCCTGTTTGAAGTGCTCTAAAACGGCAATCCAGCTTTGAACAAGTCCTCCACTCCCATTAAGCAGGACCTCATTTGGAGGAGTTGTCAGCTTGGGTATCTTGGGTTCTTGCAGGCAACCACAATCAGTTTGGACACACTTTTGAGTAGTCTGAGAAACAGCGCGTTCCAGGAAGGCCACCATGTCTGTCTTGCCGTTTTTTCGAGCCCGATCCAAGGCAGTTTGGCCTCAGCGGTGTGGAATATGGTGGAAGCGGGCGTGCCTCCGGATGAGGGAAGGTGATTCAATAGTTTATTTTCTCGGAAGTCACAGAATCCGTAAGAGCAACTTGCGCGTGTCTGGAAACATCTCAAACATCGAGTCCTGCAAAAAAAAAATCTGAAGTGCTGAACGAAAACCAAAGAGCGCTTCCAAGCAAGCATGAGCACATTCAACCAATTTGTTCAACATTTCCAGCACTTGAGGAAACAAGGTATAACATGGATGTTCAACACACCGCTTTGCTTGAAGCACAGTTTGTTTCCAAAGAACTTGCGGGTGCAACCAGAACACTGGCCCCAGCCCCAAACCTCCTCACATCCGAGGCCATGGCCGTCATTCTCCTTGGCATTCACATCGGCTTTCTCCTTCACCAAGAATTGGGCAATGGAGAGGTGGTCATCGCCAGCTGCATACATCAGTGCTGTCATACCTCGGGGCGGCGGCTCCGGGGCTCCGGCCACTCGAGGCCACGGCAGTGCGGTGAGTCGGGAAGGAAGGAGACGGCCGAACACCGGAGGGAGGATAGGGAGAAAGGTTTTCGAACAGGTGGTTGGCTTAGGTACACATGGTCAAGAAATCCAGCAAATTCCCATCAAGTATCATCAAAGCATATCATATCAACACATTTCGACTACAGAAGGTTGGGCAACACTTCACAATGAAATCTGACCGACAAACATACTAACTAAAATAGAGATCAAGCAAGTAAGTGCTGCAAAAAGAACACGATTAGCAAGTGGCACAATTTGGAAGGCTTGTGATGTTGATAAAGCTTCGGCAGCTTTGCAAACCAGGTCAGGTGAATTGTTTTTGCCTTCTGCCGGCCTGCACACGTCCAAAGAAAGAGACCAATCTAGAACCACAAAGTCCACCAACAAAACGAGCCCAGTGCGTAGCTCCTTGCATTTGGCCTTTGATTCCACCCGTGAAGAAAGGCCCCCGCCCAACCTCCCCCCATCCGAGGCCACGGCCGTCAATGTCCTTCGCATTCACATCGGCTTTCTCCTTCACCAAGAATTGGGCCAAGGAGAGGTGGCCACAGGCAGCTGCCCACATCAGTGCTGTCATTCCTCAGTGCGGCGGCTCCGGGGCTCCGGCCACTCGAGGCCACGGCGGCGCCAGGGGGCGCTCGGTGAGTCGGTGGGGTGGAGGAAGGAGACGGAGAGGCCGAAAACTGCTGGAGGCTCGACAGGGAGGTGGGTTTTGGACAAGGTGGTCGGTTTAGGTACACATGGTGCAAAGTTCCAGTTCATTGTTTCACAAGGTTTCCATTGGCACGCGAACTTTGAAGCAACAAAACCTACAACTTTTGGAACGTGAATTCTCCACATGACTGCTCTCAAAACCAACTTGCACCAATTCTTTCCATCCCACTGAAACCATCCGAAACCAACCCTCTCTCCCACCCAAAGGCAAAAGGCAACAAAACCCGAAAAACACACCCTCCTCCCTCTCTTACCCCGAAACGGCGGCGGCACTTCTCTTTGCGACCCAAAGGGCCGTAATAATCGCCGTCCTTCTGGTGCACCGCCTCCGCATCGCTGCGAACGAAGTGCCGCACCGCCGGGAGGTCTCCGTTTCTGGCGAAGATGATGTCCCCCCAGCCTCACGGCGAGTGGGCTCAAGGCGACGGCGGAATGGCGGAGCGAACTCGGTGAACCGCAGGGCTCGGAGGGCTCTCAGGTGGGTTTGGACGACACTGCAGGGGAGGGGTGAGGGTTGGATGCTGCAGGTGGAGAGGTCTCGAAGAAGCTGCTTTTTCAAAGGAACCATCGAACTCCAGTAGTGAGTAGTTGTTCGAATCCCGATCTAGCTAGCAGCTAGTTGGGTTTATGATGCCTCCCTAGCCTCCAATCCACTCCAGGGCGAATAGTTCCTCTCTTTCGCGCAGGTTCAGCGCCACAAATGTTTTGGGGGTTCCAGGTGTTTCCAAAGAAGGGGATTGCTGGATGCAAAAACAATGAGTTGTGCAAAGAAGCCACGTACTGTACTTGTTTATGCTGGTCTGTATGGAATCCTTGATGCACACACACTGCACACTGGGTTTAAAAACATGCTAAAACCATGTTCCAATGTATTTCATAGACCCTCTAGCCCAGAATGCCCCGCAAGGTAGCCATTCTCATCCTGGCTGGCCGAGTCTGTAGACTTGACGGTGTAGTGACATGTAGTGACGGTGTAGCTTGAGAGTGAACTGGAAGAGTTGTTTGAACTCAATTCAACACCATCAACTTGCAGTAGAGCTTTGAACAAGTGAAGGACTAAGCAACGGCGATCGACGTGAACAGAGATCTGAGTGCTCAACTTATGGCAGCTTCGGCATCTGCCTGTGGAAACATGGACTTGTCGCTTCTACGAAGCGCACTATCACATACTCACCCCGAACAAAAATACCAAAAAAAGGAGTCATTGGACGATCTCCAGCAAGAAAGCAACATCATCACACTCTTCCACACCAAAAATGCACCATCATCAACAAATCCTTCCAGCTAAAACAAATATCACAGTCTAAGTTGACTTTTGTTGAGAAATGTTGAGATTGTAGAATTGCGACCAAGACCTGAAAGCTATATAAGGCAATTTCGACCACCGATGGCCGGACCTCTGAGACTCCATCGACCCCTCGAATCCTTCTAGTCATAAGAAACCCAAACATCCGACCTTTGCGAACCCAACAAGCTGGGCACCTTCTCTTCTGCAGTGGTCGGTACATAACCGCTAGGCATGACCACCTGGCGGTAGGCACAGCAGGTTCCAGGCATCATTGAAATCTACTTATAGGGCATGAAGAATTCAGGTGCATCGCGGACAGCCATGCCTAGCCAGCTTAGCCATGCCAAACGGCTGGCAGCTGTATGCCCCGGAATGTGCCACCATGTGTCACCCTGAGTCATCCCAAACGAATTCGCTTCTTGGTCAAGTGCACTCTCAGGTCAATCAGCCAAACCCGCGATGGCTGGAGGTGCTCAGCGGGTGCCATGTCTTGTCACATCCCTCTTCTGTCAGCCCGGTGGCGGACCTGTCAAACGGACCAGGTTCTGTGCGGGAACTGGGGGTCCCAATGGACTGCCAAGCTCCGAGCCAAAAGCGGCTGTCAAGCAAAAGCCGGAGATGATCCCGCATTGACATGCTCGTGATTTCAGCCTGCCAAGGCCTGCACAAATATATACTAATGTATAAATAGATGGTCCAAACTCTAGACTCGCCTTAGTGGATTTCATGAGCTGAGAGAAGCTGCTCTTGGTGCAGTTTTAGCTCGAGCAAGTTTGAAGGATTCACCCGCACCACACTGGAAGTACATGCTGCAACCCCCAAATCCATCTGCGAAATCTGCAGAGCTTTGACAGAACGCACTTCTCTTCCTCAAAGCGGCGGACAGCCACTTATTTTTCTATCCACGGCGAACGCTTGTGTTCGCCATCAGCACACGGCAGTGGTGAAAGGCAGCCTTCGAATAGCACCTGGGTGAGGCTTTCCAACAAATCCGATACATTCCAAGGTCATGATCAACAACTATTTAACTATTTAACTATTATACGCATGAAGTGTACTGTACATATACAGACTGTATTATCGTTCCACTGCTGTTGACAGTATGCGAACATCCACATCACCGGACACCTGCTGCCTGTGAAAACTCTCATCTCCATAGGATCTATGGTCATTCGATGGGGGGTGCTCGGTGCGTATCTCAAGTCTAAGTTTTCACTGAACCATGGTGAGGAAACAGTTCAACTTTTCTCGTCATCACATGTCGTCGGCTCCTTGGTGCAAAGCCACATCATTCATCATCTTCCGTTCCGGCAATGGCGCAGCAGGCGCCAGCAAGGAAAGCCAGCACCAGCGGTTCAGGCGACGGCTCTCTGCAAATGGTGCATCTCTTTGTTTGTTGCAGGCTGGTCTGTGCTACTGCCGTATATTATGGCAAAATGGTGTTATTTATCATCTCAGCACCGATTCCGAAAGGGAGTGCTGTACCATGTGCACTGCATACATCCAAATTGGTCATGGTGCATTTGACACTTCACTCTCTGTCTTGTTGTTGGAGCCACTCGTGCTGGCGCATAGATGGCCTCTGAGCTTGGGGTGCCTATCATCCGGAAGCTCACACATATTGGATGCGCTGGATGGCAATTGGGGACGTAAAACGTAGGAGCGTCACAAATGTCCCATGGCTGCGTACTACGTGGCGTGGCTGGTCCAGACCTGAAACCTGACCAAATACCACATGTCTCTATTTGCCGTAGGCTTCACAAATGTTTGTTCGGTGTTTCACGTTCTTACATCATGTTCCCAAGCACTGCAACATGCTCAATCCTCCCAAATGCCGCATATCCATGTCCTTGTTTGCGTCGTATTTTCATGGTTTGTTTCTTCGGGCCCCGAAATAGTCCAAAGCCTCAATCAGTTTTCTTGGAGCGGCCGGGCTTCAGCGCACCCTTTCTACAGCTGGTCACCTCTGACAGCGGGACAGCAACTTTGAAAAGCGCTTGCTCATTTGAGCCTACTTGGATGGATCTTAAGGGAACCGCCTTCTTGGGCACGTGAGATTTAAGCCCGCTCTTCCCACATTATCGCCCACCACCAGGGCATTGCTTGGGTCGGTCACCCGAGGTCCTGTGAGCTGTTGGCTCAAGGCGGCCTGCCAGTCGCTGTTGAAAGTGGGACGCATGCTGGTCGCCACAGATTTGATGCGTGCTGGAGAGAGGTAAGAGGTCAAAGCCTTCCAACTGGGCTTTACCTGGACAAGACATCACAGTACCCACCACCAAACCAAAAAATTGCAATTGCATGTAATTGGGCGCTCAGCCTACATCTCTTCTGTTGCAGAAGTACGCTGGATGCACACAAAGCCATAGCAAAAAACTACATGTTCACATTCAAATCAGTGTTCTCCAGAACTGGCTTGGCATCTGTGAAGCGACTCCAAAACTGGCTAAGGCTAAGGAAATGACTGATGTATGACTCTGGAACCGACAATCCAGCTCACCGAGCCCCAGGAATTGCAGGACAAGTTCCTTATGCTTGGGTAATTGATGTACAGCACCCTTGTTGTCTCGTTGTTTTGCACGTATTCCTGGATCCCTTTTCATACCCATACCCATCCCATGTATGACATATTTACCCCGACCCCTGAAACAAACAAAACACCCCCCCAAGGAACTGCTCAAATACTGTCAGTCCCATGAATCCTCTGCGATAGGCACCAGTTGGAGCTCCCTTAGTCGTCACCGGGGCCACCGCAGTCGTCACCGTCGCCTGGGACTGCACGACGCGCTGCAGCACTTCGCTCAACTGAAGAACTTGATGCCTGGAGCGACGGCTAGGGCGACCAGCTTAGCGACGATGCGGGGGCGACCTGGGAGCCAAAAGTCCTGCTACTGAAGAATGAATCCCTACTGAACTATGCACCAGGGTATGCGTTTTTGTTGCTTTGATTTTGGAGGGAGAGGTCTCTGCTCAAAAGGAGCGAACAAGGGCCTGGTGAGGTGGTTGGCAGGAAGGGGTGACCCTCTTCAGGCAATCGTTACTTTGCAAAGAGCACCAGGGAGGCAAGCGATGGAACTAATAAACATATATATATAACACGATATAACTTGCATCTACTTCCTGGATTTGCAAAAACAACACCTCTGGATTTAGCATGCAGCTGGTTGGTGAAGCCTCTGGATCTGCAAAAGCTTCGGTCGAAGCCGCTAGGCTGCCCTGGCATGGGATCATTCCCCTGCGGGAATGTTATATAGATCTTGTCCAACACACTGCGTCCTCTCATAAGGCTATGTCTATGTCTATGTGTCCTACAGTCCATAATGCAAGCCATCTGGACATACAAAAATGACAATACCAAAAGTATGAGCAAAGCAGTCTCTGGTTTGGACATGTTGTGGGTGCTCACTGTGGGATTTTCACGACCCTGATTGGAAAGGATATACTACTGCAGGAATTTTAACAATTAAGTGGACTTGCTAGAAGCCGACAGGTTCTGGTGATCTGGTTGTCATAATGGAATCTGTGCTTCTTTTTGTAAAGTAGCAATATCGGAAAAGGAGTTTGACAACATGTCTCACGTAGTCTCACTTGTTTGCCTGGCTTTCACTCAGAAAGCTATTTCTTGTGGCGCTTAAAGGTGGTGCCGAGGCACCCCAAGCGACTGGCCAGCCGATGTTCCAAAACATCTGCTAGCGCATCCGCCTTCCCATCCTCAGCACAACGGTTTCGGGTGCAGTGCGGTTTCGGGTTTCACCCCGGATATCTTGGCTCGAGCTCGACCATGGAACCAGGTTCATCAGTGGAGAGTCCCTCAGTGTCCTAAAAATCGAAACCAACCCAACAAGTTTGTCACTCATCAATGAATGCCTCTTCAACCCTTTGGCGTCCTGCACCTGGTGTGGTGCGGTCTTGGTGCTCCTTCCACACCCTGAGAGTTCATCACAAACGCCGACTAAGTGTCACTTAGGTCAGATCCTGTGAGCTCTATCGGACTCACCAACATGGCAGTGGAAGGTCGCTGCCTGCTTTGGGTGAATGATCTTTTTTCATGGATCTGGTGTAAAACATCGTGTAAGACTGTACAATAAATGGTAGTCTCTTAGTGCGTATTTGAATACTTCCGGGCCGTGCAAAACCCATGACCCTTCTCATCCTTCCGGGAACCTCTGAGCTTCCCAACGGCTGCCTCAAAGCCTCGAGAGGTGGATCGATCGTCTGGGTGCCCTGTCAAGGGGTGCCCTGTCTGGAAGCCTAGTGGGGTAGTGTGGGGTAGTCCAGCCAGGACACCCCTTGGACACCTCCAGGTATATTTGGTGGTATATTGAAGTGGGCGAGAGGCATCTCTAATTCTTCAAATATGCTGTGCTTTGTTAAATGCTCACTCAGTCAGGTGGTATTCACTCAGTCAGGTGGTATTGAGGCGGCATCTCAACATCTCTTCAGCCTGATTCTGTTAGAACTCCCCCCTTTCCTATTGACACACACACACACACATATTGTAAACTCATGTAAACTCCCAATATGATCAATATGCTTCCACCCACTACGGCACGCATGTTGATGACTCAATCCCAATCCAAAAATCAACTGTTTTGCACACTTTGAGCTGCCCAAACTAGTCAAATCTCTCCCATCAGTTCCAACTCTCACGGACCGATCACCTGGGTTTTGACCTCGGGCCTCGCCTGTGGCGCGGAACCCCGCGAAGTCGGCTTGAAGCCCGACGATCTGCAAGCGCAGCGCCTCCATGCCAGCCTGTCTGGGAGGATGGGCTCTGGGAAGGAAACAGGCTCTTGCTCCAGGGGGGTTGTCTGAACACATCATGCACCTCCGGAAAACCTAAAACTAAAAACATCCCAAGACCATGGATCTATACTGAACCTGCTCCCCACGTCACCCCACGTCTCAACCCCCGGAGGTCACGCGTGACCCCGCGGTCCTCCGTCTCCTGCTTCGTGTCCTCGAGCCTCCGCTCGGCGGAGGAGGCCTTCAGCGAGACCTCCTCCACCTTCTTCCTCGCGGCGACTCCACCGGATGCACCGGCGACGGGGGGCAACAACTGGTCACTCATGTCCGTTAGGTAACCCAGCAAGTCCTAAAGGATGGGTTAAACTGGTGCGTTAGCGTAAAGGACGCATTTCACCTCCCAACTTCCAAGACCTAAATTTCACAGGTTTTTCACGGCCTTTCACCCTGTCTTTACGGGCTTTTCACGGGTTTTTCACGGCCTTTTTAAGCTTCCAGCTCCGGCTTTGCTAAAGCGCCGGTTAAACTGGTGCGTTACTAAAGAACACGTTAAACTTGTGCGTTGACCCACTGGGTAACATTGCCAGAAATCTGGACTCAAGATGTTCTAAATGAGCCACTCTCGGACAAAAGAAAAGACTACAAGACCCCGAGGATTGAGGAAAAGCATGCAACCACTCTCGTCTCAGTCTGCAGCGCTTTGCCACGTGCAGGTGAAATCCCATCCAGCCACCATGCCAATTGCTTCCCATCTCCTTCTCCCAAAAACCATAGTAAAACATAGTTAAAACCACCAGAAAACACCCTCCAGGTTTCACCGATTTTGCCCCCGAATTGCTCCGACCGTCCACCTCTTTCACGTCCCAAGCTGCTGGGAACTCATGGCCGCTGCCAGGGCGTCGTCCGCCAGGCGCACGCAGGTCTGCTGCGCCTCGCGGATCACCAGCGCCGCCTCGTCGTTGGAGAAGTCCTCGCAGTCTCAGCATCCGTCGCGTGGGAAAGGGCGTAACAAGATGAAACAAGTGAGTGGTGCTGTGGCGCAAATGAGATGCTTGGTGACCCTGGTGACTTTTTGGGGAGTTAGGTATAGGTGAATTCCGGAAAATAGCACGCCAGGATGCATCGGGCAACATTTGCCAACTTCATCTTCAACCTTAACTAGTCAACCAACATCAATTCTCCCAGCAAAATCGTTGTCAACATTTGTCAACCATCTTCCAAACCAATGGATACAGAAGGAAAGCGAATTGATTCGTCTTCCAACGACTCCGGCCGACTCCGACTCCGTCCTGCAGCGCCTGCAGGCGCTCCTCGTAGCGCTCGCGCGAGGCGCGCAAACGCTCGTCGAAGCGGTCCGTGAGCTCCTGGACCTGACCGGTGGGCCCGGGAGACCAGAGAGGTCGGTGTCGGAGTCTGGGAGTGGAGAAAACAGAACGATCAAAGGATGTACAAAAACATATGGTTGTGAATTAGAAAGCGCGGGATATCTATGATTTGTATATAGTAATAGTGTGATGATGTGCATCTCTTTTGTTGAACCACACCTTTTGCTGCTATCTGATCAAAGCATTACATTGAACTGATCAGGAAGCGAGGCATACTTTAGTGGCACATGGCGGCACATACATACGTCGCTGCAGCCAAGGAACTGACAAGGAGAGCTCATTGCGCAGCCTTGCCATGTCCTTGGTAAGCTCCCCTTCCCAAAAGTTGTCTGCATGGTGGCAACAAATGTTTTAATCTGCCGGACTTCAAACATTTAGATCTGGGTCAACGTGATAGGTTCTAACAGACTGGCCCATGTTCCCAAGTCATGCCCAAGCAAACCAAATGAAGTGTCTATAAATCTTCGCTATCTGAACATCCGCAAATCAATTGACACAGTGACAAGTAAATCCACATCCAGATCAAGGTGATGGCTTCAAATAGGGCTGTAAAATGCTTAGAATAATAGCGCTCTCCAGCCGGTTCTTCAAAGCCTTGCAGCCCTATACTCCTAACAACAATGCAACCCCCTCCGCAAAAAAAAAGTTCTTGAACCACCAAAGAGAATTTTGTCATAGGTTCCGCCCTCATCTTGCATCCACCTATGTTTCCCCACAGGGAACCTGATGTTCGCAGTCTCTGCACTTCTCCCATCCTCACCTGCTCGCTTCAACCAAAGCCTCCGCCTCCACCGTGCTCCGACTATCGGAGACCAACTGCTCCAAGCGCAGCGCACGGGACTCGAGACCTGGAGCCGCACCGCCGGTGACACCGGACCGGCCGGAGTAGTGGGGACGAAATGGGTTGGAAATGCCAGGAATTCCCTGGTGATAGCTTGAAACATGCGTACAACATATCTTTAAAATTGTATTGCAATATTAAAATGCATAATTTGATCCAATATGTAATATTATATTATGGACAACTACTTTGTGTATAGGTACCAACCACGTTTTTATAATAGCTGGCTCCAATCATGCAAGACCTTTCTGGATGCTTCAGAATGGCAGGTTTTGGGGACCAGGAAATCGGACTTTTGCACTGTTGACCGTAACATCCAAAAGGCTCCATCGATGTCTTAATCCGAGCTTGGACCCTTTGATATTGTTTCCAAACATCCTGCAACACATGATACACAATGGCACCAGAACAGCAGTCCTCGTACCCACTCAGTGCCATTTAGGGTGCAAAGATTGTTCTTTTCATCAAAGCCTAACTCAAAGCTATTGGAGCTTCTCATCCAATGACTTCAAATGAAGTCTGTCAAGCTCTACAACTCCTCACTCCACTCCCCCAGCTGCAACTCAAGCGACGGTGCATGTGCTCCAAGGCATCTTGCCGGTCTGCCTGTCCTGCCTGTCAACAAGGAAAGATCGTTCACGAGAGTTCATGAACCTGAACTCACCCCGCTCATTGCATGCTGCATGATCAGGCCATCAAATGGAAGGAGGAGGCCCAACACAAGTGGTTGAGTTGAGTTGATTCCCGTTTGTGCTGAGGATGACTGAGGATTGAGATATCTTTGTGCTGAGGATGACTGAAGATTGAGATATCTTCCGAAAAAGGCAGTGAGGTTCCAGTCGTCGTCGATCTACACTCAACGACCCACCGCAGTGCCCAGCTGTTCGGGCGCAAGCACGCCCGGTCCTCCATGTGCTGAAGGCTTTGAACCTGCGAGGGTCTCATGTCTCGCATGTGCTTTTTGTTTTAAGCACGTGACCTCATGTCATGGCCTCTAGAATCTCTACTGGCTACTGGCAACGAACATCTTTTGAGTATGCAATCCAGTGTGATGTCGCAATATTATGGCGAAGCAATCAGTGAGGTACTACATGGTACTACCGTACAAAGGGTTCTGCGGATAAACAGGTAAACCCTGGATTGTCCCATCATCGCTAGCTAAGCCTCATTCCCCAAAATGTGATCACGTTGTACGGACTACGACATGGGCAATGGAACCCATAACATTCCAAGATAAATCAACTGTCACTTTTATGATGTTATTTGTTCTTCCAATGGCACCGAAACAAATTCCCACCAAACTCCGTCTTTTGCTATGAAGAGCGAAAAACTACCTCGTGTCTCAGCGTGGCCTTCACCATCTCGACGCTTCTCTGAGAGGTCTCGAATCTCTCCTCACGCGTGAGAGGTGGACCTCTTCAACCAGCCTGGAGTTTAGATTCACCTACTGCTCCTAACAATGGCCAATTGTTTGGAGGCCCCATTTCCTTCAAACATGATCAAACATGTAAAATCTGTCCAAGTGGATCAAGCCCAATGATCTAGAATCTAGAACCAACCTGGTCAGCCTACACAGTTTGAGCCTCAAAAACTTCTTTAAAGAAACAAAACACAAACATATAACAAAGAAGTGCACCCCCAAAAAACAAGTCTGCAGGTTAAATGAATTTCAAAAATGGTTAAACCTCCCAAAAACACGGTTTCAGGTTGAACTCACAAGCAGCAAAACTCCTCAGAAAGGATCTTGCTTTCAACTTTCGGACGTGTTTGAAGCAGTTTGGGCCCTTCTGCCGTCGTCTTTCACCCGCGCAGCGCACTGCGCGGCGCCTCCAGCAGATCCATTCGGCCTTTCACCAGCCGGAGCTCCTCTTGCCTGAGGGGCAGTGAGGGGAGTGTGAAGGCACCCGAGGAGCCTGTGGACTGACAGTGGCAGTCTTGAATGCTCAGAGAAGAATGAACACAACCCGGGAATACTGGTTGGTTTGTGGGGATGTTGATTGTGAAGTGGGGGTACCTTACCCTATAGGATATAAACGGATATAAAACACCTGTCCGTGAGGTGATTTAAAATCAAGAAGCTTCCAAATCTCCTGGTTAAATAGTGGTCTGTGCACATGGTGCTTCTTCTTGAGAGGGGAACCCTGGGTATCTGAAAGACCGTTTTCCATCTACCCCCCCAAAAAAAAGGCCGACGGTAGGTCTGGACGATCTGAGCTCCAAACAGAGTTTCGACCTCCAAGTAGGCCGCATTGAAGTTCTCCTTGGGACCACAAGCGATGGCTCCTCCAATCCCGAGGCGATCCACAAAGATCTGGGAAACCACAAGTGCGAGGTTGCACTGCAAAGGCCAAAAGCAAACACGTCGAGTCTCACTCCTTCTAGGTCAAGAATGGTTTATAGATAAGTGTCCCGAATGCCCAAAGAATCAAGCATATGACTGGCGGCGACACCAACCATCAAATCTGATAGTGTCTTTTGTTTACAATGGGTCCGCACCCAGTTGCCATGTAAAGGCTTCCCTTTGATTGCTGCATCGCTTTTTAGTGCTGCTCAGGATCCACATGATTCTCCAAATATGCCTGGCCGAGCGGCCAAAACGAACGCATGGCTTGTTGGATCTTGTTGGGTACGCCATTTGGGTACGCCGAAAAGGATGGGTTTTGAGTGCACCAACCACCTGTTGGACGGTCCTGACAGGCGTGACCATGGTCATCTTCGTTGGTTCTCACTGTGTCATCACTCCGATGTTTTTCTGCCCGATGTTTTTCGGTCTACAGGGTACAGGGCGATGTTTCTTGGCTATGCCTCTGTGCCAAAGTAAAACCAGCAAGCCTTAATATAGAAGCAACAGGAAATTGATGGAAATTGTACAAATCGCGCATGGAACCAAACTTGCTAGATGCTACTTGCAACTACTTGCCATGCGCCCCCGCTGTGCAGTCTCATCCACACTCCAACTCCGAGCTGCAATGTAAGCATTGCGATCCGTCAGGAGCCGTTTTCGGTCCTGAGACATCACGGTGGTCGTGTGTGGGTCGCGTGGTCCTAGAAGTGTTGACTTCTGGCCACCAAGCTTAAGCTCCTTACCGCATCCAATTGAACAAAGCCTAGGGCTCCTGGCCGCCCCCTCCGTTTCGAAGATGGTGGTGGTGGGTGCCAGGGGTGTCTAACATGGACTAACCGGGACTAACCGGACTAACCACCGAACTTCAGGAGCACTGGGCCAGGAGCCCTAGGGAAACATCAATTGATCTCTCGAACGCTTTGGAACGGCCCACCACCCAAGATGTATCACAGGACGACGCCCCACCAATTCAGGGACGACGTCAAGACTTGGAACGGAACCACTCAATTCCTCACTGCAAATTGAATTCTGAACTCTGGACACATAGCATATATATATATATATATGTACAGAGTGAGTCTATATTAATTTGCATTCTGGAAATGAGCTGATGCAAACCCCGCAGCTCACGCCCTCCCAAGGGGTGGTCAATGGTGCTCTGATGTTAGTATGTCAAACCCTCACGCCTCAAAGAGGTGTTACAATCAAACATCCATGTCTGAGAGGTTATGAAGCAAGAGATATCAATCCCAAACACTCCATGTTTGCCATATAAATGCTTACATTGACCCCCCCAAACCACACCAATGGATGCAAATATGGCAGTCCCACTAGTCGTGTCTGGGAAAAGGTATTCATTCAACACACCTCATCCGCACCCGCTCTCCGAGGCTCATTGCTCTTCGACTCCCCCAGCTGCGCGCGGCGCGCGTAGCCCGCAGCGTAGCCGCTGTCCATGGCGCTCCTGGAGGAGAAACACCGTCGGGCTGGACTCATCCAAGAAGCCCTTGGACATCAGTGATGAAGAAATTGGACATGCTGGTTTACCCATTTGTTTGTCCATGGTTTTGTCTAGTGTTTTGGTCCATGTCAATGAGCCAATTGGACCATTTCAATGAACATTTAAGTGGGCTGACTGCCGAGGTTCGACCAATTTGGACTTTCCTTTAACTTTATAAGCCAAAGAAGGAAGCTTGAATCGCTTGGAGTCCTTTCACCCAAAAAAAGCACCAATGCCGCCGCCAAAAATGTCTCTTTGATGGTCTTCTTGGCTGGTCTTAGCTTGTTTGTTCTCTTCATTAGCCTAAGGAACTGTTCCAAGCACAGATCCTTTTTTCCTTGCCCCAGCCTCCAGGATCCTTAATGTGTCTTAAGAAGTGATCATCGCGCGGAACGCGTGGAGGATCCGTTTCTCTCGTGCGGTCTGAGTGGCTCTTGGATTGAAGGTGGTCACTGGATGCTGCTTTGGTGGTCACTGGATGTTGCTTGTATAGGCTTGTGGTAGGGGCTTATCTGAGTGGGTGGAAGATGGCGGGGGGTTGTACGTTGTCATGAATGACTTGGAGGGTCTGGTTTGGAACAGTTCGGACTTGGGCCATCCTAAGTGCATGCGTCGATTCTCAGGTTTTGGGTTGAATGCTTCAGTGCTCACGCAGATTCCGACACATGATTTTCTCTTTCAATGCTGCTCAAGCAATAATTTTTATCAAATAAGTTTGCAGTTGAAGAAAACGCCACTTCAACAGTGTCACTGGCTCTTCCATGACTGGCCAACCTTCTGCTGTCTGCAACAAACAGCAATTCGCCAGGGAGCCGAGAAAGAATGAGCAATCCAACGTCGTTTGACCACGACCGTGTTGGTTACCACATCCCTGCCCCCTTTGCCTGGAACACCAGTCACGGGCTCACTTTTCCCCATCCCTTGGGGATCCAGTTGTACCTTCTCAGAAGGTATTTGGACCTATTTGAACCCGACCCGGGTACCTACATAACAGTGCCTCCACTCACCTTCTGAGGTACCACTGGATCCCTTAGGCCGATGTGAGGGCATAGAAGTCGGTAGGATCGACTTTTTGGGTGATGGCCACGACAGGGGAGATCGGTTTCCATGTCCGAGCCCTTGATGCTCGAGGGCGACAGTGATCGAAGGGCGAGGAAGTGATCGAAGGGTTCAGGATCTGCTGGCCGTTGAAACTGGGAAGTGTTTGTTCTCTCACTTCAGCATTGAATGATATTTAGCAACTTCATCTTCAACCAAGTAGATTAAGTAGATTGATTCTGATACATTATATGTCCCAGCAGAAGTCAGAAAATCACCCATTGACGACCCAACAACACCAACAAGCCATTGAATTCAATCCATTCTGCTACATCTTTCAAGTTAAACATGCTTGTCATGAGTCAAAACTAGAGAACAAAAACAAAAAGCACATGCAGGACGCACTCCGAGAACCTCTCAAAACACTCTGGCTGAAGGCAACAATGATCCAAGCCCTTCATCCAGCGAAACCGATGCCACCCGGCCATTCCGGTGGGCACACCTACGCGAGAGCTCCGGCAAGTACGGCCCAAGTGGCTGTACCTCAGGGGCCAGCCACGTGGGTGAAGGGGACGTCCATCTCTTGTTTCAGGGACTTGCATCTAATGGCCACACACTAGGACCAGAATGCAACAGAGTCAGACTACGGCCACAAAGAACATGTCTACTAGAAGGATGTGGTGCCCTTGGCCCCTTCTGAGAGCTAGTACGCGTCCATTCGCATACCATGGAGAAAATCACACATGTGACAGAGAGCAACCAGTGCATTTGGCCACACTGGGCACGATGGAAATCAATGTAGTCATGCAATCCTTTCCTTGAGGTGATAGTCAAGATTCTTTCACATAGCTTTGCAAATACGATACATGTATTAATTACTATACATTAAACACCAAATATATATGTATATGTCCATTCCGAATCCATTCCTCCAGAAAACAAACCGACACAAAGCCCAGGCCATCCATCGAAATATCAATCGCTAGACATATCAAGACATATCCCTTTGAATCTTTGGCGCCTTTTGCTCCATCCGCTTTTTTCCACCCACGAGCTTCCACACGGACCATGAAGAACACAGCAGCCTAGAGCGGCCAAGGGGCGGAGAAGAAAACGGGCGAATCGTTTGATGTGAGGACGAAGGAGGCTGATCTGGTGCTGTGGCTTGTTTCACGGTTTACGGCTGCTCCAGAACTACGGCTGCGATTGTAAAGCCAACACTTACGCAGGGTGGGAAACGAAGCCAACACACCGTCCATCATCCTAGGGCTCCTGGCCTACCTTCTGAGAAAATGGTTGGGGTGGGTTTTTTTGGGGGGCTCTAACCACCGAACTTGAGGATATGATCAGTTGGTCCTTCAATGCCAGGCCATGAGGACCTCAGTGCCAGGCCCTAAGAAGCTGGACAAAGCGAAGCGCACAAAGGTATGCCTGGCGAAGCACCGCGCGCCAGTGACCGTGCGCGGTTTCGCGGTTTGTGCTAGTCAGTGACCGTCTTGACAGGATTGATCAAGCGGTTGTTCCTTCCAATCTCTTCCAATTGACGTTTGTTTGGCTTCTCTTTTCCACTTGTTCACTTGCCGTTCCCTCTCTTCCCTTCGGCGGTTCGCACGTCATGCGAGATATCCGCATAAACGAGCAAAGGCAGGCGCAAAGGGATCATGAAACCTGCCAATCGCATCACAAAGCGCTTTCGTGTCTTGCAAAGGCTGGAGGTTCAAATGTTTCGGTGTGCCTTCGCAGGAACTGCCCGTTGGCATAGGTGCTGAACCTTATGATGAAAGTTTTCCGTGGAAACCAAGACGGTGCAACATGTTCTGCCATCCCTTCCAAGAACGTGCACATGCATATCCACATGGCATAGGCAGGCGCAATGTTTTGCTTGCTTTAAAAAGGCACTTGGGTGAATGATGGCAGTCTACGCACAAGGCTGCTTGTGTTATACTGTGATTCATCTTCTGTTCAACTGCGCCAAGAGTAAACAATCCCGAGCTCTTGGCACGGCTGACGTTGAAATCCACAGCGTTCCAACCTCGAAGAGAAGTTCTCTGGAAATCATCCTCCCATTGAGAACTTCAGGATGTGTCTAGCGTGACCACTGGCGGTACAATAAGTTTTAGCAACCTCTGTCTCCCAAATTGGTAGAACTCTAAACGCTATAAACATCTAAACAAAAAAAAGGCGGTCCAATTAACGAATCTGCAAGGAGGCCACGGCCATTCTTGAAATAATTCTCAAACCCCCAGGGCCCCAACCACATCCTCAAAAGGTGGTTCGAACCCCCTGGCACCCACCGCAACCATCTTCTAAACGGAGGGGGCGGCCAGGAGCCCTAGGGAACAACACTCCTCCAAGTCATCCTCCTGCGCACCCAAACCCATCTTTTTCTCCACCACTCTGCCGCCTAGGCCTTGTTGGATAGGTGGAGGCCTCTCCGGCATCCGGAGGCCGTTGTGTGTGTCAGACGACGCACCGCACAAAAGGCACCTGAAACGAACGGCACCTGCTGCTGTTATCGGTACTCCGATTCCTGGGCCCGATTTCTGGGCCTTGGTGTTCAGTCTGAAGTGATCCAGAATGCAATGGTGACGACAATGAGATTATGGATCGGGATAGAAGTGGCACAATAAGAAAGCAACCATGTAGGATGTAACATGAGGCTATCTTTGCCTGAGGTTATGCCAAAAGTAGCTCAAGCCGTGCCCACACAATGCAACCATCTCCAAGACATGTAACACATGTTTGAAGGGGATGATGTTCACATTATGGCGATGTTGGTGTCGTCCATTACACAACCAAAGCGTTCCTCCTGCTGTAAGGAGGGCCTTGCAACGGCCAATAAAAAGGCGCACAATGGCGCTACCAGCTAGTGCAAACAAAATCAGGAATCTAGCAACATGTTCTTTGGATTCATCTAAGGCCTCAAGTCACTAATTCATGAAGCATCAATCATTAATTTAATGAAAGAGGTGAGCCTACAAGAGTCTGTCGAGTAGTGACCCACCCCCGGCAAACACGGGAGATGCAAGATCACTGGACTTGCCACAGCTGGTTGGTCATGCATCTTCGTCCATCTTCTTTGGATGTCCATTTTTCGGCGCCACTACCCTTCAGGCAGCTGCGCATTGCGCATGTTTGGATCCCGCCGCACCGGTCCCCGCATGGAGCACGAGCGCGCGGGCTTAGCATCTCTCCACATGGCCCAGGGCTCAAGGTGTGAGAATTCATCCCATTTGCGTAAAGATGCCCTCCCCCAAACGAATCCCATGGAACCTGAGGTGCTCGACCCGGTGGAAGGAAAACCATTTTTCCGAATACCAACCCAATGGATTTGGGGTTTTATGTGGACCTGTGCGGAGGAGTAAATGTATATATATATATATACGCATGATCTCTATAGAACTAATTTATTGTGCAATTGGGTTCAATAGCTTCTTGGGTACTTCATCCAAACCAGGCTCCTTGCCTAGAGCACTGCCAACATCTAGGCACCTTCCGCAAGAAGTACCCACCATACCATGCTGGAAGCGCAGAACGTCCGGGTGCCAAACCGGTGCGGCCCAGAACTTAAAAACCATGTCAATCACCGGCTGCTGGCGTTGAAAAAGCAACGTGCACAGCTGGTCTTCAAATGTCTTGGTCTTCAGTTTTGAATATCGACATGGTCACAGCTGTTTTGAACAAAAACCACTGTTTCTGCTGCGTGGGTGATGATCTCACGATTTCTTGACAGCTGGGCCTGTTGGGCATCTGGGGCCTCTCTGGTTCCAAACCCCGGAAGCTCCACGGCACCAAAACCCGTGACCGGAGAGTCCGAAGATGTTCCAGCAGCAAGTCGTGGAGCTTCGTAGCTTTCTGGAAACTCAGGACATCAGGACATGCGCGGATCGAGTTGACATAACGTCCCAACACCCCAAACAAACATGCTATATGGATATTCTTCCATGATTCTTCCATGTACTAGTTGCAATTTAACCGCCTTACGCAGCACATCATCTGTATGTGTTGAGACTATTCTAACTAAACAGTTCGTTGTCCAAATCCAAAAGCCCTGTTGGGTGCAACACTTCTGTCTTGAAGGTCTTAGATGGTCTTTTTCATGTTCATCCACCCAGGGATGTCGAAAAATGGTATTAGAAGAGGAAGAGGGGTCAATTAACAGTCAATGTTTGAGTCTTTGGACCAGCGCAGCAACGTGTCGTGGAGGATCCTGTAGTCCGATCAATTAATGCTGTGATTTTTTGGGACATGGTATTGGAGGACAAGCACAATCCCCGGGGACAGTCATCTACTCTTCCGGCTTCTTGCCCTAGGGCCCCAGGGCTCCAACTGCCTCTGCAGAAAATGGTTGGGGTGAGTGCCAGGGGGGTCTAGAAGCATGTGGAGTGAGCTTCCACTAGCATGCCCCAGAATTGACAGCCCTTCTCTTAGAATGTGTTTCCGGGATAATCGCTGCTTCCTGATCGAGCAGCATCCTCAATTCATTGACACCATCGAACGATTCAATGAGTATATCCAAGGCTGCCATAGAGCATAGTCAACTGTGCCAACACACGAACAACCAACGCCAGCATCGTCCTTCTTGGGACTCTTCGTCCGATTCGAACATTCTTCGTCCTCAGGTCGTTCCAACAGAACCTGCAGCGCTGGCCACGGCTTCGGCCACGCACGACGTGCTTCGGCAGCTCAGCTGACCAAATCTGCGGATGATGTGTGGAGTCGGTTGTTATCTTGGGCAGCTCTGCCCGGAAATGTTGCCCCCAGGCATAGAAGGGCATAGCTACCCACAAGTGGCTCAGTGGCAATCTTTGAGTGTGGCTCAAACATACCTGGGCTTGTTTGAAACAATGTTGCTGAAGAAAAGCAAACCGGATATTCTTTTAATAGTGATGAACTATCTTCAGTGGTTGATCTGGTGCCAGTGAGCCAGTGATATGCCATGAGCATTCATTCATTACTGGTCATAAGCAATGTCTCTCCCCCTCTATATCAGCTTTTTGCAATCCAGAGGTCGCAGCACCAACCTGGTCATACATTCCGGTTTGCATCACAGGTTTGTCTGCCTTGGATCCAATCTAGCCACATACATTCCCCTGTTTTCTCCCTCCACCTCCTCGCCCCCTTCACATAATTTGCATGTTTCTGGAGCGGAGCATCAACATCATCAACATCATCAACATCTAACATGCAAACATGACATGGGACCTTTTTTTACAGTAGCATATCAATGACAAACCCATATATTACAGTACATATGCCATATCTATATATCAAGTAATAGCATTCTTCCGTTGATTCTATGTATCTTCTGCAGTTCTTCAAACGGACATCTCTCCTCTCCTCTCCAGCCATGCGGTTTCTGCCGGCGCATCCGGCCTTCCACCTCTCGCGGGACCTGGACCTGCGATCCGCCGGAGGAACCTTTTCAATTCAATACCGGACAAGCAGTATATCCCCCCAACATCCCCCAACATGTTATAAAGCTGTTACTTTGATTCAGTAAGCTGGGCAAAGCAGTATATCCCCCAAACTTTGATTCAATCAGCTGTTACTTTGCAATCCAATTCTCACCAATAACCAAACCATCCAAAGTGGGTGGTGCTGGATAGGACCGGACAGGACAAGTTGTCCTTTTTTCCTATATAGGCAATACTTTCACGTGGTGTCTGAGATGATCCTGGATGTTTTCTCTTCAAGGTGTCTTGGATGTTCAGCCCAGGAGCCTGGATAAAACAAGGACGATATCATGCAGAAGGGGATTTACCGAGTTCGGGAATAAGAACAACCCCATCTGCAGAACCAGGGTGGAACTCCGCTTGCCTCAACCTACTTCTTTCAGGACTTGTCTCGGAGAGTGAGGATGGTCCAAGGTCTTCATCAAGGGTGCTTCAAAAACAATTGATTTCGACCTGTTTCGAAGGTCAAAACTAAGAAGTATGTTTCGACCTGTTCTTTTCTTGCGAAGCTTTTGCCTTTGAGACTTTGGGGGTGTGGATTTTCGCTCTTCCACTTCAAAGCACGCACAACTTGAACACAGACTTTTAAGACCTGCCAGTCGTGGTGCTACCAACCGGTGCCACCATGGGTGCGTGCGACCAACGGTCACTGCCGAGTCCACGTGCCCCGAGTCCACGCGCCGGTGCGACAGCACCGGTGGAGCCGCGGCGAGCCGGCTCGGCCTGCAGTTGTTCGAGGCACGGTGAGGAAATGCTCTTTCCACCTCGGTGAGGCAGAGTGAAGGTGGGAGGAAGGACTCCTTTTACCCCAAAAAACAGTTAGTATCAGTTAGTCTGATATCAACTGCCTCAGTGGTCATCTACATAGTACGCCAAAAAGCCAGGTGAGCGCAATGGTCCTTTCTGTGGTCCTAGGCTTCTCCAAGTCAAATCAATGCCCTGTAAAAGTGACCCGAAAAGGATTTCCTTTACTTCAGTCGGTCAAAATATAGTCTTTGGACTTCTAGGGAATGTGTTGCAGCAAAGATGCCAAGCAATTTCTTGGCCAACGAACGCCTGGCCCACAGGTTTCGAGCTCGGCAAAGCTTCGAAGAGTGGGATCAACGTCGCGTGTCGCCCCGTAAAGTAGCATTGATTCTGAATTACCCATCATGATCATTGATCATGATCATCATCATCATCATCATCATCATCATCATCATCATCATCATCATTCAGTATCATCCACCTGGCCCGGAACCTCTCCGGAAGTTTAGATGGTCTTTGACTCAACAAGTCCTCTCTTCTTGGTCCTTGTCTTTGTGCCTCCTTGTAATTGTTCAATCCATTCCATGCTGTTCAGTGGAACGCCGACATAGTCTCACGCCTACTCCTCTACAGTCGGTGCACTCACCCGCCTTAGGCGCAGTTGACGCTCCTTCTCTTGCTGCTCCTGGCGAAAATCTCTGAGGGACATCTCCGAAACCTCCAAATGCAGTAATCCCACCCAGGGCGGGTTTGGACGGTTCTTGTTACGCATGGTTTCAGATCTCATTCATGGTCACTCTGTTCAATGATAGTGTTCATTAGTTTCGCCTTTTTGATTGCTCAGCTTATTGAAACACCGTGCACCCAACTCCCACTGTCTGCCCGCCTTGCCCTCGCGCAGGCGGCGCTTGTCGACGAGGTCTTGCAACTCCTGGACGCACAAAATGCTTGGAACACGCGTAATTCAGCGATGATTGACACCAGAAAAGTCCAGGAAGCAAGGAAACAAAACATGGAAAGCCGATTGCACCCTTGGAAAACGATAGATAACACGTCGGCCTCATTCTCCAAACAATTGCCATGTGTTTTCCAGTTCCCCAAAGCCGGTCACCGTACCGTCCTGGTCTCGGCGCGCGCTGAGCCGGAGACTTGGGGCATGGCGTACAGGGCCTGGCGGCCAGGACGTGGACGGCGGTTTCGTTCAGCAGGTCCAAGCAAGCACGTGCTGTGGCATGTTTTGAGGCAAACTTGCATCTCCATCCATTTAGGCCAAGCGTAAGGACTAGCGATTTTGCTCAACTGGTGCAAGTTACATTGATGTTTTTAGGAAATTATTGCACCCTGTCTAGGTTGTCACCGAAAGCAGATGTCTAATGTACATAGATTGTGAATCTATAATATGTGAAACCCCATGCTGATATATGATTCGAGAGCTTTCAGGGGATCCACGCGGGCGAAAAACCAGCCCCCCACAATAGCTGGATCATTCCAAGCTCTTCGCAACGGCCGCCCGCCTGGCGAACACTTGGGTAGGAGTTTCCGACCATCCACGCTGAAGTCCAAGCCTTGTGAGGCCTGGAAGGTACGTTGGATGGTTGGATGAAGGCCAACAGTGAATGGTAGCTTTGGAGGCTTGCGTGATCTTTAATGGGTCCAGTCCGTCGTAGAACAGGGGTCTCCCTGCAACGGACGCTCTACAAAAGAGAAACATGTCAAATGTGGTATGTATAGTTGATAAGTAGTCAATGTTTAGGGTGGACCACGCATTTTGATTCATCACGAACATCTAAACCCAAGAAATGGCCATCCCTTATTTTGATGTGCCCCAAACCAAGCGCTAGGGGGAGCACATGTCATCTGAGTGCCCGGGCGGTCTTGGGCAGCTTCGGGATCCTTGGGCAGCTTCGGGACGATCGGCTTTCCCAAGCTTGACCAGTCTGACTTAGCACAGCAAGTGGGGACTTAGCTTAGAGATCCCCTGTGGGACGACACGGGACGACCCCAAGTGAAGACAAGACTGTCTTCAATACGCATCAAAACGAGGGATTCTCTAGATCTTCTCAGTGTCACAGTGTCAGATTCCAAAGCTTCTCCAGGCTTAATTAAGAGGCATATACATGCATGTCTTCTCTACAAACCTACGACCCATTTCGTGCCGTGTGGCTGAGCTCCTCAGCTGATGAACAGCAACACTTCAAAGTTTCACACAGCTGATGAACAGCAACACTTCAACCAAGCGTCTCAGGGCCACGGTAAAGCGGCTCGAAATGGAGGTTGTCCTCGTCCGTCTTGGACCTGCTGAAGCAAACATACCACAAATGCCATGGTTGCTCGAAACATCTCCCAAACAGCGGCGGCAAAGGTACTAGTAGCAAGTATTTAGGATTCACAACATGTTCATGAGGAGTTCTGCAGTTCATGAACCACTTCATAGTTGCCCTCTCTTCATGGCCAAAGAAAACCAACCCATGCCGCTGCACCCCAACCTTATCTGCTCGGCACGGATCCCACGAGCCGCACGTGCGAGGTCGCTCGTCCGCCTCTCGGGGTTGGAGCTGGGTGCATCGAAGATGGTGCGGAAGGCCTGTCGCAGGCCTCGGTGCCGGCGGTGTCGCTTGTTTGGCTCGGTGAAACCGTTTCACCGTGGCCGGTGGTGTTGAGCACGTGATGTGGCCGGTGAAATGGTTGCGTGATCTGATTTGGAGATTGGACCGATGGGATGGTGCATCATGGTGCATCCTATGAACTAGTAGCTTGCATGCACTGGGGATGCATTTCGGTAGCAAACTGAGGAGCCTTAGACTAACTTCCTGACACAGCTAGGATCAGCTACTGTAGCTGATTTGTTCCAGTCAAGGCCTTTTCCTTTTTGGTGGTTATACAACGCCCCCGCTTCTGGCAATAAACAGTCATTCCAGGTCATTCCACCACCACAGCCTCTCAGCCCAAAAAGGTTCCCCAAAACTCCTGGCCATCTCCCATCAAATCCCAAACATGATTTTGTTATATGTTGTGCCACCCTTGTATGAAATGTTTTCAAGAACCAGGTAACCACTTGGGTTGAACCCAAACATCAGGCCTCCAAAAACGCTGACATTCCCTACTTCACGCCAAGACTGAGCTCTTTGGACTACTACTTTTGGAGTGCTCCACTCCACACCATCACCACTCCCATCGGTCTCAACGGTCTCAACACCATCAACACCTCCCAGCTCCACTCGGCTCCTCCCCCGGGTGCCCCGGACAGGTGTCGCACAGGCGGCTGGTGACCGGTCCGCTCGCTTGGAGCATGGGAATGTCCTGTTCGGCTCTCGATGTTCGCTCCACGCACCGAGGCACCGGTTCGTTCGTTCGGAATCTGAGGTGTTTGCTCCAGGTGGTGAAACGCTTTGAGGGGTGGTTAAGCTCCAGGAAGGCAAAAAGGAATTTAAACAACGAAGGCAATTCGTGTTCCATGTCAAAGAGTTCTTAGAAAGCTTCTGGCTTTGAAGAACAAACTCAAAGAGTTCTTAGAAAGCTTCTGGCTTTGAAGAACAAAAACGCTATAGCTGTATGGAGAAATCTTCAAGGATTTCTGAGCATCTGTAAAACAATTGTTCTCCATTTGCTTGAGCTATTCACTATCGAGACCCATAGTAACCTTAAAGCAAAGTGAACACGGCACCGCAATCTTTGCGTTCGGGTGGTTGGTTTTGAAAACAGTCATGGTTCCGGAAAAGACGTGCCCCCACGAGGTCTGTGAAGTCACGCGCGACGTCTCTCTCAGCTGAAAACGCGTCAGCTGCTCAGGCGTTTTGCTCAACTGAGCAACCAGTGTCTGTCTACAGGACCAAAGTTGGAGAATTTCATGAGAAAACCGGAGCGTGGCCCTCTAAACCATTTCTGAACCTGACCTGTTTGTCTTGCAGTGCGCATCATAGGGCTCTTACTCCACAGTCAACCAAAACGGATGCCCCTGGCAGGCTGTTGCTATCCCTGAGTTGAGTCTTCTGTTCCCAAGCCATTTGGACGAGCCACATTCACTTCCAATAGCCAAACGTTGTAGTTCTCATCCACCTGCAGGTCAGGAGGCCCGTCAAGAGGTCTGGGCAAATCACAGAAATGGACATGGGATGACCTGGGTGTACACCCTCCCTCCAACTCAACAAACATGGAAGTGAACAATCCCATCGTCTTTCCAGAGGCCACGCCATCCACGTAACCATGATTGTTGAAGAGACAGCAAGACTTGATCCATGAACCTTGGACAATCATCAGCATTCCTGAAGATCCCAATGAGAAAGACATTTAATGTATTTCAAAGCGCACCTCTAGCCGCTAGCCAGTAGCCCTTGAGGCCCTTGAGCCACATCACATCTTCTGAATCACATTCCTTCCGAATCCTTCTCATGTCCATACCAGACCCACAATCACTCATCTGTCCAAACCATATATATATATACAGTATATATACAGTATATCCTTCAACCTCAGGTGAGGTGGGCAGCCGATCCCTGAAGAGGCGCACCATGAAGTCATAACCGAACAGCTGGAAGCAGCAGGAATGATTGTCCGACCTGGCGCAAAACCGAAGGTCGCTGCTTTTCAGCGCAGAAACATCTCCAAGCAGTGCCAAAAACAACCCCCAAAACTCTACACTCCCTGAAATAATCCATGGTGAAGTGGAGGGCATGGCCCCCTTGGAGAATCACTTTCCTCTAAAAACTGGTGGTTCTACACTCGCATGATTATTTCAGGCAGTGGAAGCCTCCAAGACCAAGTCATGACTATGGTGACTATACTTGAACCCACAAACATCACAAACAGAACTCTTGGCCAACACCACTCTTAAAGACCCCCTCGGTTTCCTTGGAACTATCAGTTATACGATGTAGTTCCTCTTCTAATTATTAAGTTCAAAGTTTCCGACACATCTTTAACTGTCCGATCAAAAAAAGGAAAACAACTCATTGTCCTTCCCCCGCACCCTCTCCACTGGCCAGCCACTTCCCCCCCGACCAAACTCAAACTGCTGCATTCCATCCAAAACGTTGGACTACTCAACTGCTCCCAAGGGGCTTCGTGAGCACCTCCGCCACACTCAGCAGCGAGGCCACGACGATCTGCTGCATCGCGGGGCGGATCTGCGGGCGGAGTGGGGCGGCGATGTTCGGATGGCGATGTTGTCTGAATAGAGGCCATTGGATACCTTATTCGATCTGGTTCTTAACAGAGTGCCAAAAACAGCCATTCAACACAATTCAACATTGAATCAACAACATTGAACAACCATGGCCTGTGTGACTCCAACTTCAGAACGACTCTTGAATAATTTGATCGTGAATGTGGCTGTCCCTCTCCACGCCTTGTCTTTCCACACATCGTAGCCGGCCTTTTCCAGCAACAAGGTCCGATATCGCTCCTGCAGACCCCGCTGGAGCAGGTTGGCGCTGAGTAGTGCCATGTTCCAATTGCCTCACAAGGCCTCAAGACTTAGGTGCGTGGACCTCGAGACTTAGGTGCATGGAAGAGAACATTTCAAGAGGCACCTGTACTTGAGGTTGGTGGCCTGTGAGTTTCTGCATAGAAGATCACCAACTTCTCCCATTGGCCACGGCCCATGGACTTCTTTCAAGCACTATGCGGGCGCCACGCCACGGCTCGATGGTCGTCCCGGGCTGGTCCTGCGTCCATTGACATCGCCAATCCTCAGGCCATGTCTGTGCCAGGTGGCTCCAAAATGCGGTGGTTACGGGAGGCTTGTGGACCTGTATACATTCCAGGTATAGCTCAGTGACCATGGGGATCTGTTCTGAACTCCCCGACATGCGCCAGCCTAGTGCACATGTCACTGCAAAGGAAAGTCTCTCCTGAGCCACCAGTGGTGGAGAATCTAATTATATAGGAGGATTTTGAAGGGCTATACTTGATCTGTGTAGAAACTTCATGGGCAAAACACTTCCTTGCGGCCATGGCTCCTCATCATCCGGATTGAAGTTCGGATGGTTCTTCATGATCACCGTGTGGGTGAGGTGCTTAAAGCCTGAGTTGGACCAGCAAGCTGAGCCGGGTGGCACAGCTGGAACGCCACTGCAGCGAACCTTTTGATATACTTAATGTCATTTTGCGTCCAGCCTCCTGGGTTATAATCAAGCATTAATCAAAGATATCCATTTCTTTCAGCTCCTGCAGTGGTCTCAGAATCGCCGTCAGATTCAATGAATAAACCACCAGCTCCTACACCGTTCGCATGTCCTCCTGAGAAGTCCCAGAATTCCAAACCTCTTCACGTCACTAAAGCAACCTCAAGTATCTCAAGTATACAGTATAAATCATATGAATATAAACAATGGAACCCATGACCTCTACCCACATGAAACCTCAACTCTCCTATAGAAACAATATATCGCGTTCAATTGGTCATGCCCTCCCCATCTTCCCACACCAAACCGTTTGGACCAACGAGGACGTCGACCGTCGTGGGCCATGGAGTGGCGATCCCCGAAGTCGTCCAAGGAGTAGTCCTCTGCGGCGATCCGCACGTAGCCTCGGACGGGTCGAAGGCGAGGAAGGTAGGGGTGGGCACGACTTGGATTTTTGCTGAGAGGAACTCAACAGCAATAACCCACCATCGTGCTGCCATTTGCCGCCTTCGAGCATCATTGCCCATAAGGACATATTTGTGCAGAGTAAGTACTTTCTGAGAGGATCAGACCTCAGGATGGTGACCCATTCAAAAGCAGATCTTAGAGGCTGGGCATTTGCCTAAAGCAAATGAGGTATGAGTGTTGGACAAGTAGGCACCAACAATATGTGGTTCAATGTGAGCCTCGTCATGGTTTTTGCTGATTGGGTGATCTTAGATTTCCCGGGTCAATCACTCTGGCATGGGGAAATACATGATGGAAGTTATGATGGACAATCGAATCCGTCTGTTTTTCCTGGGTTAATTTTCCTGGCAGGGGAATCAGTATACTGTATAATATACAATCGAATCCGTGTTTTATTTGTTCTCCCTTGGAGTTCTATCTTCAGGAAAAGTGAATGATCGCAGTTTTCGTCGCGATCATGCTCATGCCTTTCCTTGTGTCCACATATACACAGGGTCCAGAAAAGCATACCAGCAGTTCCGGAGGAATGATGTTTAGTGCCTTCTCGAGAGTGGGAGTGGATACTTGAACTGCTGGTACAAACATGTAGTTGCACACATATGTATATACAGTAAGAATATCATTACACAGGCTCTTGCCCGTGAATCTGAAGATGTCCAACCATTGATCAGGCGGACGCTGGGTGTGCCCAACACTCGCTGAAGAAGTAGATGGTGAGGGGGTTCAACGAGGTGACCATCGCCCACTGCCGGATGTCGTGCTTTCGGGCCCCACCAATCCTCAAGAGCGAGCCACGGCATGGGCACGCACGCAAAGGCACGGTTGTGAAGGGAAAGAAGGGGGGTGGTGGTGAGTGGTGGCTTGAAAAACCGGGGCTGACTGAAGGCTGAGCGTTTCCGATAGATTCTAGAAGGGCCAAAGTGGCCAAAGAACGAAAGTACCGCACCAAAGTAAAACAAAACATTCTTTTAGATGTGATTCATCCATCTATCCGAGTATAAAGAAACATCCTGCGGAAACTGATTACTGCCAGCTTGCAGGGTTATATATATATATTTATAATATGGTTAATCTACACCCAAACACCAAATGCTACTCCAACTGCTCTGATTTGCGCAACCTCCCTCTTACTCATCTGTACTTCACTGATTCCCCTGTCTAAGCCACACACTCAGCACGTGCCAAACGCACCAAGAGTGCGCTCAACGGCCATCCAGGCCGAAAACGGCCATGAAGCATGCAGGTCCAAGGAAGGAACTGCATGCCAACAGTATTACAAAATGTATACAAGCAATCTACTGGTCGACCTGCTTGTTGCTACAAGCATTGGATGGATGAGTCCAACAATGAGTTAAGGTATTTCATGGAAGATGTCCTCTCAAGAAAAGGTTCTTGAACAGTGACAGCCTCTTGGAGGCACGCCTCTTACAAAGTCTTAATGCCTTACGTAAATGCACTTACAATAAATGATGCTGTTCACCTTTGCAGTCGAGCGTCAGCAAGGGGTTTTCAATGTATTTCCTCAGGCATGGTCGATGGGCCGATTTTTGGAGATGAGTTCGAAGCTCCAAGCATTTGCGCCGTGCAGTGAGCATTTCCAGAAAGAATCGGACATGTTGGGGAAAGAACGCAACTGACTCGTCGCCACTAGGAGTGGATGGGGTAAGACTTCGTCTTTGACATGCACCCAAATATTTATGAGTCAGCTCGGGAGCATGCGGCCAAAGCGGTTGTGTGGTCCGTCCTTCTTTTAAAGGGCCCCACATTCGAGTTCTTGCATTTTTTCCGGCTGCTGAAACACCCTCTGAACACCAACAAACCCAAACACTGGGACTGCCATATTTGTATTAGGCCAGGGCGTGGTCAAATGATCGGCCTCTATGCCAGTCCCACATGGGTCGTAGTATCTCTCTCATCTCTCAGCCAGGCCTTTCGTGTCTCTGAAGCCGCCCGGCTTCGCCCGCCCGCCGAAAGGTCCAAGGCACTGACACACATAGCTGCAGCTCTTGCCCCGCGCGTGTCTTAAAAGCCGTTCCAAGTCATTTTCCACCTGGGCCGCCGGAGACGCGGCTGGAGACGCGCCGGCCGAGGTGTGAGACGCGGAGGCCGAGGCTAGACTTGTTGGGTGAGATGAAGTCAGAAAGGGTGCAGTAAAGGAAAGGCGGAACATTGTGACACTCCCTGAAATCATCGTTCTGTGAATGGAACACTGGCTCCGAGTTCGGATGACGCTTTCAAGTGGTCAAACGCCACTGGTTTACTTATGATATTCAGGGAGTGTAGGGCGGGCAACTGGAGGAGGTTTACTTGTACTTCACAGGGTGTAGTAACTCCATCGTTTCCCATGGTGCACTCTCCCCCAGGATCAGGTCATGCCTCTCCCCTAGCGGTCCGGAAGCGCCTCGCTCTCGCGCCTCCAAATGACTCCCGGTTGCGGCGGGTGGGACTAGCCGCTCGGCTAGGCGCAGGGGTTGGTGGCTGTGATTCACTTCTCTTCAGCATTCCGCCACAAACGATGCTGGTGGAGGCACGAGGCGACGCGGAGCCCGCGGAGCCGGCTGGCTGGCACGCATGAGGAAGTGGCATTGTCCACCCTGAACACGAACTCCTTACTGTCACCGCCCACCTTCGCGTAAACTTCTGCCCACCCCAATATGTCCCCCCTTCTATCGGCCGTCCTTCAAACACACCCCTCCCAGCTCTCCCCCCCCCCACAGCTTCACCCGAACATGAAAGCATCTCCTCCCACACCGCCCAGCGCGGCTCAGCACCGGTCTTTTGCTCGGCCGCCGGTCGTTTGGTCCTCTGGCGGGCGATGGCGCGCCGCTCAGCGCAGAAGCTCCACGTTCACCGCTTCGGCCTTGCCATTCCGCGTCTCCACGGTGAAGGTCACCTGATCCCCTTCCTGCAGGGTCCTCCTCGGCGCCGTTCTCAATCAAGGTGGCAGGGGGATGCACGGGTTTTTGGAGGAATACGGGGAGAGTGGGAGTGGATCGGAAGAGCAAGCATTCTAGGTATCAATCTTCGGGCACGTTTTTTGGGCGGAGGGATGAGGGAGTTGAGAGTCAGGGAAGAAGTAATGTTGTGAGCCTGTTTGCATATAAAGCAAAGGGGGATACTGCAGCCACATCCACATCTGTCAGTAAATTTCAACTCAGCTCGTCCCTCAACTCTTCCAAACTCGGACAGGACTGCAACTGTATACAGTACCCAAACACTCCATGGGACTGCCATATATGCCTACATTGGGGTTGTTTTGGTGGTCAATGTAGGCATATATGGCAGTCCCATGGAGTGTCTGGGATATAGGATAGCTAGAGTCCGCAACTAAGAGACTCCTATGGTCCCCAACTAAGAGACTGTTTCTCACTGTGTCGTCAGTGTCGTTGTAACTGAGAGCCGCACCCGATGATCAAGCACACACTCGTGATGAACATCGAGCTTTGGCGGAGCTTTCGCTCTTCAACTTTCGACTGACAAGGAGGGTCCCAAACATGATCAAAGAACGTTCCCACTGGCAGAACCACCTAAGGACCTAGACTCCCGAAAACTAACATGGACCCTGAGAATGGCACCCCTCCTCTACAAACCAGTGGTTTTCAGGGTCCATGTAAGTTTTCAGCCGGGCAATGGCTTTCCCACAAGAGACTTGCAAAGCTACTGGCCCAAAAGTGCTCATTTAGGGTGGGTTGTCCTGCCAGGAAGTGAAAGTGCTGGCTGAATACCCCTCAAAACATTGGATGCGTGTCACCTCTCTCAACTGAACTCTTCACCACCGCCAGCTCTTACTCGTTCATCCAAAACTAACCTCTACTGGTACCCCAGCAGCTTCACAGTTCTTTGACGTTTCTTTTGAAGTCCTTGGAAAGTCCAAAATCTTCACCATCTCTTCCAACATCGGCAGAAGTGGCAGAACATCTCATTTTCTGCCTTGCCTCCCTGAAAATTCCTCCCAAAACCTCAGTCCTAACCGATGCTTCCAAGAAGCTCCAGGTGTCGATTGGAGCGTGCACCCACGAACAAATCGCCCTCGAAGGCCGCCGAGGTCACAAAACCCCAGTCACCCCGGAAGCTCCTGGCCCACTGCTGTGCAGCCGCGTCTTTTCAGCGTTTTGGGTGAAAACCTCTCTGGGTGAAAACCAGCGACTTCATGTACTCCTGTGAGTTCAGCATTTCCTCCAAACAAATGAACAATGTACAGCTCACCACCTCACCATGTACTCAACATCGATCTCACCACCTCACCTGAGTGGCTTTCGTACCGGGCAGCCCGTACTTGATCTACTGGCCGCCATGCCAGGAACCATCATGACGGACTTACGCACCTGAGGTTGTATCGTCGCCCTCCTCCAAACCAATGGGGTTGGGTCTATTCAATGGGGTTGGGTCTATTCTTCTTCCAAAGGGTCTGCTATTGAAATAACACACCCCAACAGCCCCAGTCTCCTGATAGTTCCAGTGAGCCTCAGATCAACGAACCAAGGCGGAACAAAACGTGTGAGTGGGCGCAGCTCAGGTTCGCTATGGGTGTGGAGAGGTCTCTTGCCCTCATTTTTCAAAGAAAACTGAGTTGGGCAGCAAATCCTTACTTGGACAATCAAGCGTGCTCTACTGGCAGCCGTGCGGCTGAAGTGGTGGTTTTTCTACATTGATTGGTTGATATTGATAGCAACGACTACATTGAACATCCTGGTTTACTATTGGAGTATCTCGGGAACACTGGCTGACAAGTCACGGTTCCGGACGTACTACTACTTCTTGACCATTCTCCACTACTTGCAAGTCCAAGCAACCAGAAACAAATACATGCCAGGTTTTTAGTCCCTAAGTGAGTGGATAATGGGCACCCCTAACCTCCAATAGGCACCCCTTTGTGACTGCTGGTGGTTGTTCCGATGTGGCAATTCTCCATGTTCAATGGGACTCTCGATTCTCCCCGAATTTTGCGTCTACTCGGCACCAAATGAGGCCTGAAAGAAGGTCGGATGAAGCAGCAACGCCCACAGCAAAATCACCATCGCAAACCCCTAAGAGGCCAAGATTCACTCATGACATAGGGCGAAACTACCGGTTGTTTTCTGAAGATGTTCATCAACTCATCAACTTTTGGATGACAGTCATCTTCAAGAGTAGCTTATATAAACATGCTGAAGCAAGCCCATATCATAGGTTTTGAGATGGAGATCCATCGAACCGCCTACTACTCAGACGTCTCGATCTCTGCCGTGCTCCTCAGACGTCAACCATCTGACGTATATACTGTGTACATCTCGAGGGTGGATCAGGGAACCCTGGAGGACTTCAAGAGTACTGGTGGTTAAAACTTGAACCCCCAAACTGTGAACAACATGTTGTCCAACATGTTGTATGGGTATACCTAGCATAATTGTTATATCACATGGATGATGAACGACCTCACCACAACCTGAACGACCGCTAAACACGGTTCCTGCTTCAGCATGGGGTTGATCTGGTCCTGGGTTTCCTCCCACCCACCCTCCGCTGCTCCGCCCCGGTCCAGCAGCACTTGCCCTGGTAGCTCGCCTTGGAGATGGGCCTCAGTGCTCCATCCACGAGGCAACTCCGCTTGGTCACTCTGGAGTCACTCCCCAAACCATCGCGTGGGACTGGCTGGCCTTTTGATGTCAGGCGGCATTGATCCCAGTCCAATGGATGGTGCGGGATTGGATTTTTACGGCTATCTCCATAGACATGTTCTCTAAACATTCTAAACCTAAAGGAACACTTGTCATCCATGTTCCATGTATGGCACGCGATGTCACAGTTTTACAAAGACCGTCATTGATGAAAAGAAGATCTTAAAGTTTGCCAAATGTTGTGTCTCATATCTCCAGCAGGGAAGCAAATCCACTCCAACTTACTATCTAACTAACTAACTGTCTAACTAACTAACTAACTATCTATCTAACTAACTAACTAACTAACTAACTATATAACTAACTAACTAACTAGCTAACTAACTAACTAACTAACTGGCTAACTACTGTAGGTCTTCAAGTCTGCATGATGCCTTGATGATGCTGCACGTCCCAACCGCTGCGGTTAGAGCCGGATTCGGAAACTAAACGGTCGGATTCTGAAACTTGGATTCTGAAACTGGTATTCTGAAACTGGGGTTCTGAAACTAGGATTCTGAAACTGGGGTTCTGAAACTTGTATTCTGAGACTGGAAAGTCAGATTCTGCAACTGGTATTCTGAAACTGGGGTTCTGAAACAGGAAAGTCAGATTCTGCAACTGGCATTCTGAAACTGGTATTCTGCAACTGGTGATCTCCACATCATGCGATAGCGTGTGCCTGTGACTTCATCTTCGAAGCACATCCAAACCAACGTCATTAGCCCCCCACCCAACCCCCCCAGCCCCCCCTTGTCCCCATCGTGGGTCTCGACATCACGCCAACCCCCTCATCATTCACAAAAGTTGCGGAGTCCTAGTGAGGGAATCCACAATTTTGCGGAATGCCAGTTGCGGAACGCCAGTTGCGGAATCCCAGTTGCAGAATCTTAGTTGCGGAGCCCTAGTTGCCGGAATCCTGACAGTTGCGGAATCCTAGTTTCGGAATTCTAGTTACGGAATTTTAGTTGCGGAACCCTAGTTGCGGAATCCCAGTTGCGGAATCCTAATCTCGGAATCCTAGTTGCGGAGTCCCAGTTGCGGAATCCTAGTTGCGGAACGCCAGTTGCGGAATCCTGAGTTGCGGAATCCTAGTTGCGGAATCCTGACAGTTGCGGAATCCTAATTTTGGAATTCTAGTTGCGGAATTCTAGTTGCGGAACCCTAGTTGCGGAATCCCAGTTGCGGAATCCTAGTTGCGGAATCCCAGTTGCAGAATCTTAGTTGCGGAATCCTAGTTGCGGATTCCTGACGGTTGCGGAACCCTAGTTTCGGAATTCTAGTTGCGGAATTCTAGTTGCGAAACCCTAGTTGCGGAATTCTAGTTGCGGAATTCTAGTTGCGGAACCCTAGTTGCGGAATCC